TTTCTTAAGAAGATATAAGAATTTTTTCAATAAGAGCGCTTGGAATAAAATAAGTAGTCTCGTTTGACTTACACATAAATAGTAAGAATAAGAAAATGTATAGTATTTTTTTTTAATTTTGCATTTACACGAAGTTATAAACACTGAACTATAATTTGCTTATATCTACAATAACATTTTCATTGTTTTGCTGTCAAAATATAACACTACAAAAAGTTGTTACAAATTACGAATTGTTAGTAGTCTATGTCTATGATGAAAATATATAGATAAGATGGAAACTCCTCGTTTTATGATCAAAACTATATTTGGTGTGTGGATGAGCTATTTGTTCAAAGTGATAACAATTAATTTTGAATAAAAATAGAATGTTAAGTCCCATTTATCTCAATCAACTTAAATAAATTTTCAATTGCAATTTTTATCTATGAAGAAAATGCAACATTTGAAATAGTTTTTTTAAATTTGTTTTATTATTAAAATAAATTAATATTCTTATAATTTATTAAATGTATACGGGAAGTTTCAGCAATTTGCCTTAAGGCACGATGCCATACACACACACTATCATATTACAATCTGACAAAAAGGGGTTTTTATAGTAATTTTTTTCGAGTTACACGTTTTTTATGAAACCTATTTCCGTGTAAAACGAGGGATAAGTGTGTTCTTATTTTTCTAAATATAATGATAATATAACGATATAATGATAATAGTTTTAACGTCTTGTGTCGATAAAATTTATATGAAAACTACAAATCATATGATTTGTACAAAAAATACGATATATAAATATCTTTATTTGCAAAATATGGTTTACCAGAAAAATGATTTTTAGTTTTTTTCACAAATTATTTCATATTCAAAAGGCATTCATGAGAAACATGTTTGAGAATTAGTGTTGTGCTGTTAACGCGATAGAGCACGGAAAGTTCTAGTTCTTGTGCGCATTCTTGTATTTTTAACCCGATGCTCTTGTAAGTTCAATGATTCCAAATCAATAGGTTTGCGGTTCGGACCATCATGCAAGTGCTATTCTAAGTTCTACGATTCATAAATAGCATAAGTTAAAATCACTTATGCACAAGCTAAACAACTTACGAGCACTTGACTTGGACAATTCCAGCTCTATTTCCTATCGGAGCACTAAAAAAAAATTATAAACGAATCCCTCTGCAATGAACTTCCAACGCAAATTCATACCTATCATCCAATTACGATGAAATTTTGTGTTATTAAGATATCATCAACAGATACAAGTCTAAATACAAAATATACTACATTGTCTTTTTCTATCTAACTATTTTCATCGGCCGACACTAAATTAATCTTTTTCCTGTCCGAAGACGGAATGTCCTGCGACTCTCCGTGGGCGTTTGGAACGTGTCAACTTAACTAGACTGTCCTGCCTTCTTGTGTATTCTAATAAAGATAATAACAATATTTCATATTTAATCCGACGCGGATTGATCTATTATACAACTTTATAACGGCTAGGGTGACACTTTTTATAGATTCCCATCTTATTATGAATATTCTCGTTAGTGGTGTCGGACGGGGAAATTGGAATGAAGATTTTCATGATGTCGACCATAAGCAAGATGGTAAATGAGAGATTTGATATATAGCTTGAATAAAAAATAATCATTAATTAAAATAAATTTTTTTAATTAAAATAATTTTTTTTTTGTAAATTTACAATTAGATTTATGTTATTTTATAATTTAAAAAAAATAATTCAGAAACATTTTATTGATTAATAAAATTAAAATTCCAATAATCAAACTTATTGTTATAGCTTAATATTGTTTAAATAATTAGTTTAATTTCATTTTCTTTTAAATTTTATATCGTTCTTACTTACACCACTACTTCATTAATGTCTAATAAAATGTAATCTCTCAAATGTGATGTAACGAAAAGGGTTGTCGAGCGAATTGATCGGTCATGCTGAAGTTCCTAACAATGAAATAATTAAAATCACATTCCAAATAATAAAAAACTAACACGTTTGATTGATGATTCGATAGTAATAACCCAATGAATATCTTATACTTCTAAGGGTAAATATAAATTTCTAAGTCATGTTTGTTTGTATTGGAATGATTTACCCCGACTCGAATGAATACTGGTAGCTATTTTAAGGATTACGATATTTATGCCACCCATACTAAATCCTAAATAATGATCTCCAATAAATATCCTGCGTACAGTAGAAAAAAGTTACAAATCACGTCGATGATAAACATATTTTGATATAACGTTGTAATCGTATTAAATATTTTGATCATATAAATTGTATAATAAATAGGAAATGTACGTTCACAATATGTTTGTTTCATAATGAATAGAACCTAATGAAAGAGATGAATTTATACATAAATATATAATAACGATTTTAATTATGCTTCTCTAATGTCTCGTACTAGAATAGATATTCATATAATTGTCATTGCTTATATATTTCTCGGCTTATTCTTACATTTTATGACGCTACTTCTATTTTACTGTATTGTTACTGCTTTTATATTTTATCCGTTCGTAACATACAATATTTATATTAGGTGCTAACAATAACTTTGATAGCGCCTATAAACTTCTGTAATTGAAGCAAGAAATCATTGCGTAATTTATGATCTCATGTTCAATACCAATAACTTTATGTTCAACTAAATGGATACACATTTTATGATTGAATTGGAATGGGCAATATACACATGAGCTTACGAGTAGAAATATCCTTTTTCCTGAATCACTACAGCTGCGTATAATTTTTAGGGCGGCGCACAAAGGGAGAAAGTATGCTATTTGAGCAGAAATGAATTGTTTTGGTTAAATTACTTTTGTATAAAATATTCTGCTTTATAGGAAACATTGGTCGAAATAGATCTTGTTCATTTTAACTTAAGATTAAAAGTGCTGTACAGATTAATATCTATTTATATCGTGCCAAAAATCAAAAGTTAACTAATCGGAAAGACAACTAATGTAAAAGGTTGAAAAGTAAAATCGATACTTGATCTACGAGTCAACATTGATTCTGGATAAGAAAAATTTTAGAACTTAATTTTATTAATTAAAATCATTTATTTTCGTTTTATATTACAGTCAGAATTTATTTCGTTTATATTACAGAATGTTATTAAATCTAGTATAGAGTTGTAGAAATTTGCTAAATGCCTTGAACACGACAGAGTCAAATATATGTAATAATAAATATTTCGTTTGAAAGTCAAGTTCAAGAGTTATTCAATGATAATTTCAAACCAGACGAATCATTTGCAATTGCCAAAATGATAAGTTTCAAAATTATTTATTACATTGCCATGATAATAGTTTGAAAGTCAAGTTCAAGCGCTAATTAGTGACACTTTTAGACCAGGTAAATCATTTTCGATTTCACATGACCGTCCGCGGCGGTCGTGCGTGTGAAATTTGAACGGTTTCGGTACGGCCGCGGCCGCGATGCGGTACGTGCCGGTAGAGCCGACTGATATGACTACATCAGCAGATGACCAGATCTGAATGCACCAGAAGAGCGCACGGCAGATGAGGCACTAGTGTGCGTGCAGGGAGCGAAAGTGGGGGCAGCCGGCGTGCGGCGCTCGAGTCGGCCACAATTTACCAAAGATACGACAGTCAGCCGCGCGGTCTATTGACGCAAACAGCGTGCGAGGCGCTTACACGTGTTACTGTTAAATTACTAAAAAGATCACCGGCCAAAACTAATTATAAAGCTGTACTGATTACTTTTGAATGAAGTGGAGGAAACGAATTTATTTTCACAGTTCTTCAAATTCCCTGCAAATGCTAATTAATTCTAAGCCGGTTGATTAAATTTTTATAAAACATTATATAGCAAAGTTGTTTGAAAATTTATATATAAAAAAATTAATATAATTAATTTAAATTAAGTTCAAAAATAAATACAAATTATCACATTGTACTGGCAAGCACTTACAATTATTTTTTTAAATCAAGCAGTGTTTGAATTGTTTTATGTGCAATATTTTTTGTTTGGTGATGTGCATTGAACAAGTTAATAAGTTTATATTTGAATTAATTAGAAATATTGAGTATCAATAAAATTGAGTATGGACAAAATATTTGAAGTCAATATTTCAATATTCATACTTAAATAATTGCGTTTGCAAACGTTTCAATGTCCGATCGGGAACCGTGAAAGCCGATTTATCAATGACTAATCGCAATTTATCCTAATGCATCAGCGATGTCTCAAATCTCACCGCTTTTGAAGTTCCTCTTGTTGCTCCTTTTGCATTTAAGTTACCACAGGGCGGAGCCCCGTCACGAAAGACGCTACCCTGAACTCAAGAAGCATAATTGGCACGAGAGGGCATCTGCGGTTGAAAGATTTAGCAGTTCTGGAAGGCATTTAAATAATAGACATGGTCATCATACGCGGCATCATGCCGTCTTCACCACGACTACCACCCAGTCGCCCTACGACGCGTTGTTGAAGAGATTGCCGAGCAGAGATCATCATCATAAAACTGATTCTGACTACGATAATTATGACTTAAAATGGTTCAATGGAAGAAAAAGAGCTATAAGTCACCATAAAAAATTTCCGTCCTATCAACACAGAAATTCTGATGTAAATGATTATGATAATTACGACGCTTTTGATGACGAAAATGATGATTTAGATCCAGATTATGGATTTGCATTTACGAGATCTAAAAAGCCTCATCATAGGGCTACAACTTTGGCACCAAGAAGTTTGGATACAAGAAGGGATTTTATGCAAAGTGCATCGGAAAATGCAGACTACGAGTATTACGATGACGAAGAATACAAAGAAAACACGGTGAGTTTCATAATGATATATTATTTGTTTTAACGACACATTGTCAGTAATATCAATATGTTGGATGAAATAAACGTGTGATTAAAATTCTAAAATAATGCGGTCACGCGGAAGATGACCTATTAGAGAATATTGTGATATATGTATATAAATATCAAAGCAAAAAAGATCAAACAACCATATTGAAATTAAACATTTACATGCTGGTGTAAAATAATATTTAAAAAAGTAATCTATAATTTATTTGTGTTAAAACTTAAAACTTAACAGTTTTTAAATTCTATAAAAATGCAAATTATTTCAAGGCCGTTTTGTAACTTGTATATTGTAAAGCCAAATATAAAATAAACTAACTCTATATTTTAAAAAACTGATTGTGATGATTTATTTATTAATCCTATGCAAGCCACAAATTAAATTACGTATTCCAATGATTGCAAAGAATAGAATTGATGGTGCTCAATTATGTCAACGACTTCCATCCATTATAGGACCCAATTTCGAAATGTAGAATTTATGATGTCAAACATTGATGTCATTGTATTTAAAATAGGTTCGCACCCTACCTCGAGGCCAAAAATCTTTACAACAACTTCCTGAATGTGGCGCCTGTACTATGTCAAAATTACACAACATGCAATAGATGATTTTATCTTTTTATTACGAACGTTAAATTTCAAGCAGCTCTCATAAATTATGTTTAGGCTATAATCGTTTATTGCTTACATATTAATCACTTGTATCAAGTAATAAAAATGCTGTGAGAAAAAAATTCATATATGAACTTGAAGAAATCTATAACGCTTTCGGTATCATATTGTGAAATTCATACAATTTTAGATTAGGCTCTTGTTAAAGCAAAATAATATGAAAAACGATTTATTCTCTAATGGGGCTATAATTTTCTTACTATACGTTACTATAATTTTCCTTTGCAAACAAAAATAAAGAAATCCTGAATTATGAGTGATATGTGACAGAAAGTTGACGATTAGCTGAGTTTCATTTGCATAATTCGGATCTGGTTATCTCGAAACGAAAGTTACAAAAAAAACAATATGACTTTGCAAGGAAAATTCTTTGCTAAACTGATTAATGATTTTGTTTTGACATCAAGCGTTTAATATGTGACAGAACTAGATATTGTAAATAAATCAATCCATGATTTTTAGAAATATTGCTTAAGTTGATTATTATAAATTTATATATCAGTATAAACAACGTAAATCCAATAAATACTCTGTAAAAAGCTTTATGATTGAATAGAATTTTCAGATAACTTTAACACCTGCAATCTTAATCAACTCAATAATTGTTAGGATATTAGCCGGTAAACTATTTTTGTTAAAAAAAATAGAGTACATTTTCATACCTACACTGATTTTGTAAATTCTGTATTTTATCGTTCTCTACATATCATATGGGAATAGCTAACAATTTCAGAGTCGATACAAAACTGTTGTGACATAACAAAATAATACTACTATCGTCGCGTTTTGACCTACTTAGTTTTGTATCCTCAATATATCAAACTCGGCATAGGCCGAAAAATGCATCAATACAATGTTTTCTCCTTGGACCATTCTCGTTCAATATTGCGGGCGTCATCATAAAATTACATATAATAAACGTTTTGCAATCTCATCGAGCATCTTGATTTATTTTATTTGGTTGACAAGCTATCTTGTTGATCTACGAATATTTTAAAGCGGGATCTGTTATAAAAAATTTGATCGTATCATCATTAATAAAATTACTGAAATTGTAAAGAATCTGCAAACATGCTGCAGTTTTAATCTGCTACCATTTTTATTTGAAGTCTTTCCTGAAATTGTGTCAGATTTAAATGCAATTTATGCTAAAATTTTTGAGAATTTAGAAATTTAGCATTAAGCAATCAGTGCTATTTTTATGTGTTCTTTCAGTTATTGTATGATGTAATTCCCCATAGTCATAACCTATCATCATTAGAAGACAATCCAGTGGTTGTCCATTTTTTTGTTATGAGATTTTTAATAAGTGATGAGTTTTTGGATTTGTATTTGTGAATAAAACGAAGTTTTTAAACTAAGTTTTTTATTGCTATCGAGGTACATAAAACCAGCATTTTTCATTTATGTATTTCATTTATTTAATTTAATTCATTGATATCAATAATATAATTAAGTTTTTTTCCTATCTTAAATTTCTTTATTTAATCAATTGATTCATTTATAATATATATTGTTTGTTTATTATTAAACACCAAAACTATAACTACATTATAAGATAAAATAAAAAATAAAACATCCAATTTTTTTTGATGATTAAGAATCAAGATGATCCAGTTGGGTGGAGATGAATTACCATCGCGTAAGGCTATTTTTACTTAAAATCATATTTGAATTTATATTTTCAAGTCACAACTGATATCAGGTGGTTCAAGGCAGGAGTTGAACCTGGAACCATGTGGTTGGAAATCCTTAAATGTTATCATGTAAAAATAATAATAATGAATCTGTAAATATGTAATTATATGTTGAATCAAATTGAATTCTTTTCATATAATTTTGGCAGTTATTTTTATGAGTTTATAATCTTTATGTAAGCATTGTATTGTGCCTGCATACATTTTATCACGTTCGGTCCATTTATTTCGGGGGCGTCTCATCTTATGCAGAAACATCCATTATTATTACGATTCGTCGTGCTCCGCACCTGACGACAATGAACATTACCATCACGTTTTTATTCATTCATTCATTCTTTTCGGTCCTTTTATTTATTTATATTTTTTGCTTTATAATTCGGATCGTTCTCATTCTCGGACGTTCAATTCGCCTTCGTTTTTGAGTCGGTTTTGAGTCTCTGACTTGGGATTAAAATATCTAAATCTTCGAAAGGCAGCAACACCGCGTGAGGTATGTCATTATGGAACATTTGCCATTTGATGTTGCGCAGTAATTGATTCACGGGCACACGGGCGAATAAAATGTTTGCATATATGAAAAGCTAAACGAGTTTTTCATGATATGTAGGCGCATCGCGAACAGGAATTGGACATATTAATAAATTCTAATATGAATATAAAATCTACATTTTAAATGAGAAACACATTTCGCAATGGTAAGAATTAATCTGCGTGGTCAATAATGTAGTTATTTAAAATAAATTACTATATCACTTGGTGATCACATGTTATTTCATTTCTAATTCCTAAAAGAGTATGTTTTTATCAAGAAATCCGATTGATCAGGCAAAATGCCACTGACACCTATTTTCATTGTATGTTTTGCAAGAAATTGCACTTAGCAATTACAATATAATATAATAATAATGGTATAGATAATTTTATAGTTTAATAGCCCCATCATCATACATTTACAATGAGAGATCAATAGACCTCTTTATGCCGCTCCTAAGACGTCCTGACGTCATTGTGAGGAATACCGTTCATACGAAGACCAACTCAGATCACATATGCATAATATGTATTATGGCTTTTGAACTTCTACATCTGACAGGGCTGAATATAATATTAATAATTTTAATGTCCAGAAATCGAAAGTATCAGATTAGAGCTATCAGACAACAGACCAGGAAATAAATTACACTTGCAAATGATGGTAGATGGAAACAATGTAAGACTAGAATCATTTAAGTTTGCGCCTCAACATTAAATCTTATATGTTTTTTAAAATAACTCACAAAATTGTAATATAATTAATGAAAAACGCCAAAAGTTTCCAAAAATCTATATGATATATTTAGAAGATTGTATATGAAATAACCAGTTGTAGGTGGCATTTTACCCTAAGGACCATACATTCCGGTTTGGCCGGGATGTATGGTCCCGGATTTGCACACTGTGTCCCGGATTTTTCTCAAAGCAATATTTGTCCCGGATTTAGATCTTTTGTCCCGGATTGCCCCGGAAAAATATAGGCTTAAATTGAATTTTTCCTCTTACTTGATAATAAAATTACAATTACTCATCAAATATCTGAAAATGATATATGCAAGGAGTACATATGCCTATATGAGTCAAGGCGTTATGAATAAAAAAATTGCCGAATGCAAAATTTCCAAGGGGGTTTAAATAGCCTCTCACATTAATAATTTCGAACTGTTGTTTTCTATCTTACGAAAATTAGCTAAAATTATGAAAACAAACTTTATGACTGCCTGACACAAATTCTTATTTTTTTGCTCATTTAAAAAACTGATTTTTATCGCATTCTTACCCCCGCCCCCTCCTAACAATTTGTCGTCCTGTTTTTGATATAAAAAATATGGTCATCTTACCTAAGGTAACCAGATATGTAGAAATAATTAAATTAATCAATAAGTATTAAGATTAAATAAAACTTTTAAAAATAATAATATTTGAAAATTTGAAACGACCCATTTAAATTTTATATCAAGCATATTTTTTAGATTTAGGTAAAAATTTTGATATATGCTTCCACACACAATGACTTGGGTCAGCGAACAATATTGAAAGTTGAGAATACCATTTAAATAAGATCAAACAAGAGGACCACAGATAATTGAAAAAAATAGTTAAGAAATTATATAATATTTTTAACATGCATTTAATATTTTAAATAATTTTTATAAGACCATTAATGTTGTTATGATATTATTATCTCGTCAAGAATTTTCTTATTTCCGTGCAATTTGTCTAACCTTTAAAATTGATTCTAAGTGATGTTCTTGGAACTGCAATATTAATAATAGCAGTATGTCGATTTCATAGAAGATCGCGTTCGGATTCATCTCATAAGAAATTACTTTGTACTGCGACCTAAAGAGCATTTCTCTGCGTCCATTTATCATATAAGTGATATATGATCAATGACATCTAACAGTACTGAGTATTGACGATCATTAGGATAAGTTGTCTACTAAGCTCCGATTGAAGTCTTTCTTGGCAGAATACAATAATTTTGGCAATGTTTTCAGACTAATATTTCGATGTTTTTCTGTGACAAAACTGTTTACTAGGAATCAATGGCAAA